GCCAAACTAGTCTGGTTCTTATGGAAACATGTGCCAGCATTCAATTCCTTAAGTCAGCAGATTTACAAGTCTTATACCTTTTGACCCCTAAGACTAACTAGCAGCTAATTCTTCAAGGTCATGCAAAGAAACAAAATGACTCCCAATAAGGGAGCTCTTTTAAAACAAATTCTCCATGCCAGTACTATTTAATTTGCAGAGAACAACATGAATAATATGCATGCTGATGTTAGGGTGTAAAGGGTTCAATTAGTTTTCACTGTAATCTCAGATTCACTAAACCTGTTATCGGAAGATATGTTCTGGAGTGCCCAGGATGTGGTGTAATCTATCGTAGCCGTCAGAACTGGTTTGGAAATAAATACCCAGTTAAGACTATGGTCCGGACTGAGCTTCGCCATGCATGGCCTGGGGTGAGGTTTAATGCTCGACTACTGAAGATAAATCCAACCACTTTTTTCCCAATAATTCATGAAAATCTGTGACATTGCTTACAGAAACAGACTCTTAATTTGTATTTGAGTAATATAACACACTTCCTATTGGTTTATCAGCGTAATAACCATGCAGTATGTTGGGAGAACACATGAAAAATTAGTAAATCACAAACCGGAGGCAAGTGATTGATAAACTTTTCTAGTGTTCACAACATCCCAAGCGGGTTATTAGGGCAGTAAAGCAATAAAAGGTGTGGGCTATCCCTTTTATAGAATGAAGTTGAAACAAAACAATATATTTCAGTTTTCTATGAGTTTTAACTGGACAAGTATAATAAATGAAAGGTTTTTGACCAACAAGCTCCAGCCATTTCATGAAGAAAATAGTCTTTTGCATCTTTTATTGTAACACACTTTTTGTATTCAGCAAGTTTTTGCGAAGCTGGATGGTGGCCATGCGGCCAGACGGTTTTTGGATCATTTCAGCCATGTAACTGACGCAGTTAGCAATCTCGGTACTCCTTCCAGTCAGGCAGTGACCAACTGGATCACAGACAGAGTGGCTCCAGATTAATGGGTCGCAAATTCTGAAATAACAGTAAGTTTAAAAAAACTTGGCTCAGTTTGTAGTGAACTGCCTCTACATTGTAGTCATACACGATGAAGTTTAGGGCTCAAAATGAAGAAAAAAAAAAGAAAGACAAAAAAAACAAGATATAAATATGAATAAAAAAAATAAAGAAACCCTTTACAGTGGCCAATTTACATTATTAACTCAGTCGATAAAACCAAATTATCATGTAATACCTCTTCATTGACGCAGTGCCACAGCTTCATTTATGAGAAACTTACCCTCTCCATTCATCAAATTTTGGTTGGAACAAATTTAAAAGTCAAATTAGTCAAAAAATGTCCTAACTTCTTCTTCTGTCTTATTTCTTATCTTTTAGGCTTGTCAGGTATGCCGTCAAATATTCAGCGACGGGAAGACTAAGCACCACTGTCGCGCCTGTGGAGGTGGGGCTGTGATGCATGTTCAACCAATAAGAAACCTGTACCAGAACGAGGCTGGGGTGAGTAACAAGTGAGAGTGTGTGATTGCTGTTTTGGAAAAACGTCAACTGTGGAGGCTCAGCCTCAACCCACATGAGACTTAAAGGAAGGTTGTCATTTGAAATAAATTAACAGTAAAACACTAATCCAGAACTTTAACTCCCAGAAGTGATTAACATTTAACTTCTCTCTATGATATCCATACGTTATCAAGCAAGTAGATAATGAGAGTAATCAAACTTATCAGCCAAATGTTTTTATCTTGACCTGCCACCAAACTCTTGTAATCAATTTAGAGAGAAATTTGTCGCAGCTAGAGGGGAGAATTAACACTTAGATCGTGAGGTGCAGGGCTAAGCTTGATTGTGAGTTCTCCTCAATATTAAATACCTATTTTGTGCTCTTTTGAACAGTGATCTATCGGATGCTCTAGAAGAGGAATCTCCTCAAGAAATTGTGCACCCGGAAGACGTCCAAAGTCTGTATTCTGAAAACCCTTTGGGACCAGTAGCTGCCAGAATTGTAATAGAGGTTGTTCAGTCCGCTGTGGGTGTTTTAAAAAGAGCCATTGTTTACCCTAAGGGGTTCATCACAGATGCAGCAAGGCCAGGATACTGGGTACTAGACTGTCAAATTTTAGCCTGTAATTGTTGCCAAACTGAATTCAAGGTAAGTGATACCAAACATCACTGCCGAGCCTGTGGTATGGGTGTTTGCAGCAACTGTTCAGAACGTAGGAGACCTGTGACTTTAAGAGGCTGGGATCACCCAGTCAGAGTTTGTGACCAGTGTGCTGCTAAAAAAGGACAGCTTTAGGTCAATTTGTTTTCAGTGAGAAGCCAGTCATGAGAAACTTCCAGCTTATTGGCCCTTCATGATCAGGTTTTTACTAATACTCCAACTTCATGAGGTTTACATGAAAATTATTACTTCATGGCCTTGCATGGAGATAGAGAGCATCATCAGTGGCTGTGAGATCAAGTGTGATTTAAGTCCATGGCATCCTTTGCTTGAGGTCTTTTAAACCAAACCAGAGTATTTTGAAAGCTCTTTATTTTAGAGCAATAAAAACTAACAACAAGGTTATCACAGGGCCTGTCAGACCTATGAATAATAACCCAAAGAGGCAATGGACTCTCAAATTGAACACATGCAAACTGTCGGCTATGCAAGAAAATGCTCACAAATGAGTAATTTCTCTTAACAGAATCAATAAATCAATAATAAATCCCGTTGGGTGGTATGCCAATCTATTGCAAGGTTAGTCCTTTATGCCCTAAAATCAGTATGCATATTCTCCACACTGTTCTCTATGTGATATCCGAAAGGGTAAATAAAGTTGTAGAGTGGAAAGAGCGTGGAAAAGAGGGCACCTATGCAAAACGGGCGATGTGGTGGAGAGACAAGATTATATTAGTTACGGAAGATTGTTATATCTTAGCAGGAAGTCCAAGGTAGTTATTGATAAGTCCAGAACTGTGCATCTACATCTCACTGAAAGCAACGAAAGACAATACACGAACAAACTAGTCTACTTTATTAAAGTATCGTTTTAATTTTCATTTAGGCCACAAAGCATAACTGTTCCTTTCCAAATCGATCCTTTTAAGGATATTAATGACACAAATTAGAGTCGAAACGCAGGGGGGAGAGATTTTGACCAGTCCACCTCTTCCTCTTATGTTACACCTTCTGAAATTGTGGGATAATATTAGAAAAAAAGTAATCTGATAATGATATTTTCTACGACACAGTAAGCGAGTTGGACAACTCTGTTATCAGACTATTTCAATGCTATTTGATATGCCGTTTTACATGAAAGAATATTTGAACTCTCAAATTTACCTTTGTAGACTTCATAGAAAGAATGGCCAGAGATTAATCCAGGGTAAAACTAAAGTTACGCGCAGATATAAGTCCCTATCCGAGGGGTTGCGCTTGAAACAGGAAAATCTGTTTAGAAACAATTTAACTTAATATAATATTTTTAGTCATATTTATTGGACCAAGATGTATCCCATGACTTTGATGTGTTTCTCTCCATTATCTGGATTAGCCGCGGCCTCGTTACCACACGTGTTTGAATCGTCAGGGCGACCTCCTGTGCCAAGTCCGATCCTTGAGTCGCACGTGACACAGCCATTCTCGTTGTTGCCAACAATACCAATTCTGGCTTTAGAATGTCCCTCCCTAGTACAAACGGCATTGAACCCTTCTTTGTCGCAGTTGTTTTGTAACGAGCCTTGGGAACCAATCAACCCTTTCCACACGTCACGACCCAGTGAGGTGGCGCGGTATTGGCCATCAGCGATCAGTGAGTACAGAGAGTCAGCTTGCTTGTGGATGACAATGAACCTGAGCTGTTGGTGGGTCTTCATACCGAGACAGATCTTGGAGAAGGATGTGTTCCAGTAGGTGGGTAGCTTTGATTCTTGTCCGTCGAACCCAGTCTCTCCTCCGGGAAGATTGTATCCTTGGTAATTTATCCAGTAATCCGCCTCATAATGGAAGGTGGTCTGAAATAAATGAGCAATTGATTTGTTTTTATTTACTCCGAATTAATGGATATTTTCTGTCGAAGTCCTTTCGTGTATCTGCATTTATTGATCCATTACTCATTTGTTTTACAGATGAATTGACCTTGGTATTTACGACATCGTGTCGTAATTACCAACATCAATTATATCCAATAATACCCGGCGCCGTAGATCATTGCATGACATATGTATCTAGTTATAAGGAGCTTTTCTTTGTTTTCATTTGCACGCCAATCAAGACTCATTGAAATGATAATCATTTGTGAAGTGAATGAAGGATGATAGACGTTGCTATTCTTTAACGAAATTCAGATCTCTTTGCATATAGAAAAAAATTTGAGTGTGGTTGTGTCACGATAAAATCATTGGCAAGTAAAATGGCACTAAATGTTCTACAGTCCTCCAAGAATCCTTCTCTACCTATCCCCCACCCTTCCCACTGTTTAGGGGATGAGCAATGACAGCTCTTTAAATCAGTGTAATATCTACACATCAATTAACTGGTGTGGAACTTTAACTCAGATAAGATATGTTATTTGTTCCGAACAGCTTTTAACCGAATCATGATCGTAATGCTGCGTATTTCTTATCTAGCTGTTACATAATAATTGAGACAAATATGATTGCATATATTTATAAATTCTTTTTCATCCTTTTTCAACAGTCACTACACACAATAAGTCCTGAACGAAGTCTGTATTTCATGTATTACCTTCTCGATTAAAAACAAATGGCATACATAAGTAACATGCACTTTTTTTAACTTGCAACGTTTTTAAAGAGAGCGGGTTTATACACGAGATAATTAGTTAGCTAAAGTATGCACCTCACTGCCGGCAATCTTCATGACTGGTGTCCATCCTCCGTCTCCACACCCAAAATTTCCCATGTGACAAAAAACGGACAATGGTTGGGAGTCAACAAGAAGGGTAACCACACCACTCACATTGGATCTTTCGAATCAAAATAAAAAAAAAATACAATTAATAGTGAAAACAATGATGGTAAAATAAAACTTGAGCTTATAAAAATAACTATCATAGCTACAACGGTGGCAATGAAGATGATAATGGGAAAGATACAGAGTGATAATAATAATAATGATTCAACAAATAAGCAAAGGAAAAGTTGATCCTTCAGACGTCAATATCTGCGAAATATAAGGACCAGCCTTCATAACAACAATGCTCGGTTATTTGTCCTGGAATCAAACAGGTGTCCGAGGGCAAAGGATATTTTTCACTTCTTCTGTGATGACAGTAATGCACTCCACTGAAATGAATCAAGGTTTAAAGGAGGACTTTCTCCGCCTTGATGGGCTTCAACTATTATTACAAGCGCGATATTTGATGTACTATGAATATAATATCGAAAATCAATTCTACTTGCATGTCATGAATTTCTCTACACGAGGAAGCTCCTGCAAGAAGTTTAAAAATACCTTTGATTAGAAGAAACTGCAAACTTGTTTTAGCTCCATCTTAATCCATCATTGGGAAACTATATTGACTGCACTCTGACTGATTGGCAGAAGAATTTTATCCTGTTTCAAGCTCTGCTTTTTGGCTGGAAAGAGTTCTCAGTTTTCATTCACTTTATTTGGTGGCATGTATGTTTTATATATTTTCTTCAAATTAATCATTGATAAGAAACAGCGTCGGGAGAGGATCGATCGTTGTTATCTTAATAAAAAATGGATACTTTCATCCAGTTTTTAAAGGTTCTGAGAACTGTCAAACGATTAAGAATCATCGATGAATGTGGTTCAGAGGCACTTACCAATTGCAAAAAAAAGGAAAAAAGGAGATGAATAAAAGTTTTAAGCTAATAAGCAATTACTGGGTGAGGTTGAGTATGATATCTGGAATTATCAACACCGAGATCTGAGTTGTCTTCTGAAGCCAAAGGACGAGGGAGATCACGCAGACACAGGCACAACGTTTCATGAATCGTGATTTCATGTGAAAACCGAATTCGATACTTTCTCCTTACAAGGATTTGCAAACGTTTTAAAACACTACACGGAAGAGGGACTTAGAAACTTATAAGGGTTACAAGGCTCAGTACAAGAGTAGTGCTATCGCCGATGTGTCAAAATTCTTACTTAGACTTTTAACCAGCTGATTTCCTCTATATTTCGACCCCAACGTTTACCTTTACATTCTCTTCCATTTCCAGTGAATCCAGGTTTACATATACAGTTGTAAGACCCTTTGGTATTGTTGCAAAACGCATCAGAGCTGCATTTGTACAGCTCACGAACACATTCGTTGATATCTAAAGAAAAATTATCATACCCCTTCCCCCCCAAAAAAATAAAAATAAAAAGCACCAACGACTGTATACACAACAATAATTGGGTAGGCCTCCTTCACATACTGTTCTTAATGTGGTTAACGTATTTTTTTGTTTTCTCGTGATCACTATACGTCATTTTTGCTTGTACAAAGTGAAAAAAAAAACATTCAAAATGAATCGATCAACAGCCTCCTTGTAAGTCACAAGCAGTATTGATGAGTTGCGAAACAGTCATATATTCCCTCTTTTTTAATCCGGAAAGTTCTACAGGTGGCTAATTATCTTTTTGTTTGTTTTTGTGGTTAATTAATTTTACTATTGTTTCTTCCCACTTTCGGTGTAGCTCAGAAGAAGCGATGTGAAGACCTAATAAGGAGAAGGGAGATGACGAAAAGAAATGCCAAAAAACCAAAAATTCGCTATTGAGTTAGGTTGGTGAAGAAACCACAACAAAGGTCTGTTGTTGTTCGATTCTTACAGACTAGTAAGAGAGCTTTAAGCTACATGAGGATAGAAAAAGCTCTTTTATTCTTCGAGACCCGATTAAAAAGCGTGGTAAAGTTTTTCCTTGTTGTTGTTAAACTAAAGGCCTCAAGATATCAACATTGAAGTTGTGTTTACCTCTTTCGCAAAATGGACCCTCAAATCCAGCGGTACAAAGACACCGATAACCTTTGTTAGTAAATCCGCTCTGACAAGTGGCATTGTTCTGACAAGGATTTTGAACACAATTGCTCTAAAAGAAAAAACAAACCGTTGTCATTGTCATTATCATTATCATCATTATAATCATTTTCAACAACTAATAGTCAACCGCACCGCTACCATCATCAATATTGTCATCGTTATCCTTGTTATCATAGTTGTTCTTCTATTTCTATATTTCTCCAATAACTTTGAAATGCTTTCTCTTTGAGGAGATTCTGGTGAAGAGCACAGGCTCAGTATTACCGCTAATGTCTTGAAAGAGGGAAAGAAACTCAAGTTCGTAGTTAAAGGTGAACACGAGACTCAGAGTTTTAAAAAGAAATACAAAATAAACCACTCTTACTCTTAAATTGAAAGTTAAGTTTACCTCAGCTGCGTGATAAGAATACATCTCTTGGTCTATCAACTTTTTTTCGTGTCCTTCATGTGTAGCATTGTTCAGTTCACATTTATGATATCCATTTCCATCTCCCCGTGTATAAAGATTAATGCTGACACAGTCGGGCTCCATATAACACAAGTTTTCACAGAACCTGGAAACTGTTATTTCTACGGTGCGAATTGTGTGGTTTATAAGGCGTTTCCCTTCAAATACTTTCTCAGGCCCAAACTCCAAATTACGACACTGGTCTGCGATGCAGACGTCTTTGAAATGGAAATAATAATACATTAAACGTAACGTTATTGCTTATGATGATATATTAAGAATTTCGGAAAACTTGGTAGGTGACAATTCATTATCAATTGTATTAGACTTGAATTTTTTTCTTCGTATATTTTATTTCTACAAGAAAAGGGATATACAAACCCTCGAAAGTGTCTCGGGTGTTATTATGAGAGTATGTCAACACGGCAAAAATTCTCTACTGTTCTTAAATTGAAAATGATCTCATTTCTGTTTTGCTTGTTTTGAGGGCTTGTTTTAAAGGCGGGTATCTTCGGAAAGACGGCAATCTCTGAACAACTATGGTCAGTGGAGGGAGACGACTAAGGGGGTTCAAATTCATCGGCAGAAGTTTAGTCGTCGTGTTTCGCTTTGTAGAATTCTTACTTAATTAATGCACATTCGTACACGAAAATGTCATACTTCTTCAAAGCACTATCTGTGCGTTGATAACTGAATATTTTAACGACGATTCTTCAGTTAATATAGGTGGATAAAGCTAATTTTCTGACTTCATGACGAATTCTTATTATTGAATTAAACGCTTCCTTAAAAAAAAAAAAACCAATACACGAACCAAAGGTAAACATGAATTGGATGTAAGTCATACTGAAACTAACCTTGTGATCTGACAGCCCTTTGTATCATAAAGCAGAGCTCCAATAAGAGAAGGGAGACAGAAACAGAATACATGATACAGAAAACGATTAGAAAAGTTCTGGTCAAGAAACGAATTCTTTACTTAATATTACATATCATGACAGGGGAAGTTTGAAACAATGGAAATTAGGCTGTCGCCGGTTAAACCAATAGCAGTCAAATTATTTCGCATGTCATCTTTTGTGCCTTAGTTTCTACCAGTAAAAAATGTTTGTTTAGAATGCTGCTCGGTTTAGCAATAATTTGCCTGTCAATTGCCATAATTAAGTTTTGTCACATCATTCTGTGGCCTGACATGCTATCATGAAAAATTCATATATAACAGTTATAATTATGCAGCAGTGTAAAACGTCACCAAATTCACTTCCACGAAACCTTATATGTCCATACTGTCGTCCCATTTTAGAAATGATAAATGAAATTTTTTAAATGATAAGCACAGTGATATTTAAACCGTCTGTGCTGAATTAGGATAAATTGGACCTGAAAGAATTGTTTTAGGTCACGAACCTTCCTACAATTTTGTATTCATAACAAAATCGATAAGACCGGTAAAGCTCGCAAAAGTTCTGTGTCATAATGTAATTGACTAAATTGGTTCGCCGTTAAAAATGCGTGCGTTAAATAAATGGATAGATGTAAACATAGTTTGTGAAAATGAAGAATTCATTTGATGGTTTGCTGGGTTATCGTTTTTACACATGCACAACAGCAGGCATGCTGAAACTTTGCCAAATTATCATGCAACCACTGTTTATTCTGGTGGTGGTAAGAACTTCCTGTGTGTCATGATATTCGTGATGGATAAGTTTTGATTATCATGGAACCTTGTTACAAGCTAAGTTAGCCAATTCACCTCTTCGACACCTTACATATCCATATTTCGGTGAATATTTCCGTCTTCCCCTTTTTTTCGCTGAAAGACTTGTACAACAGCTGGGATTATGAGGCTTTGTTAAATTAACATAACGATGTTTATTTTGGTTCTCTGGTAAGAACTTCCTGTGAATCATGTTCCTTTTCCATGATTTATTGCTCCCGTTTAGCAGTAAAGGCTTCATATTAGAGGCAATAAATCAGTAGAAATTGATTTTCGCAACTTCATATTAGCTTTGTTATCTACACAAGTTTCAAACTTTTCACTTGATGTACACTGACACACGGCATGACTTCTTATCCTCTTTCATTGCAGACATTATCGACAACTGGAATTATGCTGTAGTAAAAGTTGCTGCCTTTTTTTTGTAATTTTTTATTGATATTTTTATCATTATTGTTTGTTATCATTTTTAGTCTCAAGAGGGAGAAGTCCTCCTTCGTAAGCACTTAGCTGTTTTTTTTTATCCATTTAATAATCAAAACAAGCACCTCTGTCTAACTCTACAAGGAAAAGTTCACTTATCGATAAGAAGCTCTAACGAACGAATTTGTTGAAGTAAGTCCATTATATTCCGATTTTGTAACGAGTAGGAAAATAAAAAAACATTTTTCTGGGTTATCGTTTTTACACATGCACAACAGCAGGCATGCTGAAACTTTGTCAAATTATCATGCAACCACTGTTTATTCTGGTGGTGGTAAGAACTTCCTGTGTGTCATGATATTCGTGATGGATAAGTTTTGATTATCATGGAACCTTGTTACAAGCTAAGTCAGCCAATTAACCTCCGCGACATCTTTCATATCCATATTTCTGTCAATATTTCCGTCTTCCTCTTTTGTTTGCTGAAAGATATGTACAACAGCTGATATTGTGATGCTTTGTTAAATTACCTTAACGATGTTTATTTTGGTTCTCTGGTAAGAACTTCCTGTGAATCATGTTCCTTCTCCATGATTTACTGCTCCCGTCTGGCAATAAAAGCAATTGGAGGCAATGAATCAGCAGAAATTCATTTTCACAAGTTCAAATTAGCTTTGATTTATACACAAGTTTAAAACTTTTCGCTTGATATACACTGATACACGGTCTGACTTCTTATCTTCATTATCAAAAACTGGAATGATGTTGTACTATAAATTGCTGACTTTTTCTTGTAATGATAATTTTTAGTCTCAGGAGGGAAAAGTCCAACCTCGTAAACCCTAAGCTTTTTTTTATCAATTTAATTATCAAAACAAGAACCTCTTTCGGACTCTACAAGCAAACGTTCACTTATCGATAAGAAGCTCTAGCGAACGAATTTGATGAAGTAAGTCCATTATATTCCGATTTTGTAACGAGTAGGAAGATAAAAAAAGAAATAAAAAGGTGGGTTTTCAATGAGGAGAATCAGTTGACTTTTCTTTCTATTAGTGGAAGTCTTTTGGCATACCTTCAATGTATTTACATTACTTCGTGTTTTCCATCTAAAAATATAAATGTTTTCAAAATAATGTGCTCATGTTTCTTAATTTGTTTTGATCACTTTTATAATTAGAGAGGTTATTTATATTGCTTCCGAGTTAAAGGCAAATAGAGCGACAAACCTTGTTAGAAAAACAAACACAGTTTGATTACAGTTCATTGGGCATTTTTGAACATCGATTTCAATGAAACAAAAAGAGAAGGGTAGAAGCTATTATCCATTAAAAAGAATAAATTTTTTTCCAAATAAAGAAACCATTTGAACCCTAACAAACTTTGAATCCAGACTCATTTGACCTCAGTCTCTCGCAACCATCGATTTCCAGTAAAAGGACGAATTTTTTAAGTTCAGGGTAAAATTGATGTAGATAGTCTTTAAAATTCTGGTGCAAGTCCTAGTTGCCATCCTAGTCACTACCCTTTATTAATATCATTACCTGCAATGAACAAAATCAAAAAATGCATGAGCATTTTGAAGAAACGAATATTTTTAGCTATTCGTAGAAATGTTTTTACTAGCAACGAACATTCTGAAATTTTCAAAAACAGTGCATATCATAAATTTGTTTGACCGCCTTATTATTATTATTAATATTATTATTATTATCATTACTAATTTTTTCTGTTTATTCATTTATTTATGGAACAATCATTATCGTAAATTAAAAACATATCAAGCAGGAATCAATAGCATAAACCAGGTAAGAGAAGGGGCCTTCACATAGTTTTAAGAGGTACCGTAGGAAGCGGGGAATTGAGGGAATTAAAAAATAACAATAAATAACAACAAAACGGAAGCTGAAGCTACGGTGACGAAGCAGTCCACTATAAGTGTGAAACAGGAGTTTTAAACAATACAGTTCACGAAAAAATCGTCTAAAAGATTCCATTTAGGTTCGATAGTCTGTAACTTTCGAACTTTCGTGGGCCATTTCATATCACTGATTTGGCTGAGATTTGGCATGAAGTCTTGTTTTAGGGTCCTAATTACGAAATTGATATAAGAATGTTCCAATTATTTTTTCTTACAAAAAAAACTGGAACATGAAATTGTGAAATGGACTGGCTCAATTACGAATAGCTTAGCACTCATTTGCAATACAGTACACAAACGGTGTAGCGTTGCGTCAAATGGCACAGGGTAATGTCGAGTAGCACAGCGTACGCACAAACGGTGTAGCGTTGCGTGAAATAGCTCAGTGTAATATAGAATGGTACAGCGTACATACAAACAGTGTAGCGTTGCGTGAAATGGCTCAGCGTAATGTCGAATGCTACAGCGTACACACAAATGGTGTAGCGCTGCGTGAAATGGCTCAGCGTAAAGTCGAATAACTTTGTAGTACATCAGACGCTCTATCTCAACATTAAATTGCTTAGCATTACACGAAATATTTCGATGTTGTGGCGAATCGTCGAGCTTGCTTGTGGCATGACGTGTAGGCTATCTCGCCGAAACCACCAAAAATACAAACCGCAAATGGAACAGTGATCTGCTGGGGGGCATGACGTCAGCGAATGTGAAGAGTGTCGCGAAACCATCACATGGTGTAGTTGCTGTGTTGAAAAGTCTTCACTTGGCCCTGCCATAAAGCAGAGCCAATTCAGTGAGTTTCTCTATTTTTACCCTCGCCGATATTGCATTTATTCGTTATCGTTCATGAAAGCGTTAATTAAAATAGCAACGAGACTGGATTCTACCACGGTTTGCCGGCCTCCTAGTTTACCACAGTTTGCACGCGTTGGTGAGCCTGAATGTTTATAGTATTAAGTAGTGTTAAGACATGCATTAAATGTCGATTGCCGAGTTCTCTTTTCTTTTCTGACTCGCGCTGACTTTTCAATGAGAGTTTAACTGCAAAGGCTCTTTGAACATTGCAGGAATACATGAGAAGTTGGATTTTGTGTGTGCCTTGGACGCCATGGTAAGTAAAACTGATATCCTTGATCTGTTTTGACATTTTTCAATCAAACATGTAGTTTTTGCCAAAGCAACCTCTTTTCCGAGTTGGTTTTATCGTCCACACACCAATTAAAAGCATTCCGATATCACTCAGTTTGATTGAAAAATGTCAAAACAGATCAAGGATATCAGTTTTCTTACCATGGCGTCCAGGGCACACACAAAATTCAACTTCTCACGTACTCCTCCATTGTTCAAAGAGCCTTTGAAGTGGAATTCTCGTTGAAAAGTAAGCGGGCAGTTTCGTAGCAGTCTTCACATTCGATGACGTCATGCTCCCAGCAGATCGCTGTTCCATTTGTGGTTTGTATTTTTGGTGGTTTCGGCGCGATAGCCTTGGCGGCCGTCACCACCAAAAATACAAGGATGTCAAATAGATCAGCAAATACAAAGATGGTTTCAGTAAGGATCAGCTGCAGGATAGCATAACTTATGAAGGAATGGCATGGCCCTCACGCCACGCCACAAGCAAGCTCGACGATTCGCCACAACATCGAAATATTTCAAGTAATACTAAGCAATTTAATGTTCAGATAGAGCGTCTGATGTTCTGCAAAGCTATTCGACCTAACACTACACTATCTGTGTGTACGCTGTACTATTCGACATTACGCTGAGCCATTTCACGCAACGCTACACCATATGTGTTTACGCTGTACCATTCTATATTAAGCTGAGCTATTTCACGCAACGCTACACCGTTTGTGCGTACACTGTGTTACTCGACGTTACCCTGAGCCATTTGAAGCAACGCAACACCGTTTGTGTACTGTATTGCAAATGAGTGTTAGGCTATTCGCAATTGAGCCAGTCCATTTCACAATTTCATATTCCAACTCGACATGGGCAACTAGACCGTTTATCATTTGGCTGAACTATCCATGTTTAGGGCGTTCTGTTTCACGAAGGAAAACTAAACCGTCTATAATTCGGCCATGCCATTCCTTTATTAGCTATTTTATCCTGCAGCTGATCTTTAGACCAGCTTTGTATTTGCTAATCTATTTGACATCCTTGTATTTTTGATGGTGACGGCCGCCCATACACTAAGGTCGATCACTTTGCGAACTATTGCTTCCAACGTGCCTTACACGCCAGCAACGGAAGAAGCTCAAGGACCTTAATTAAGAAGCAACAATGGATTGTTTCGCGTCTTTCTTAATTGACTGATGAAATCATACTTGCCTATCGCTTCCCTTTGTCCATGGTGGCACTACACAACACTCCTTGAAACGGCCGTGAAAGTGACTACATGGGGTATTTAGGCCAAAAAAAAAAAAAAATCCAGAGGAGCCAACGTTCTATTTTGTCACGCACACTTTATTTTGGCTTGCCCAAAATTTCTAATTTTGTCGGCGCCGCAAACTCAAGCTAATTTTAGGTCATTGAGATCATTTTAGGTCGTTTTAGGTCATTCCTTGTTTTAGGAACTACCACATTTATCATGTCTGATAAAACATGTTGGTTTCATTGAGCTGAAGCATTAGAAAAGTTATCGTTTCTAACAAAAAGCTAGACTTTTTATTACAGTGATTATTTTCCCTTTTTATTTCCAATAGAATGATGTTAGTCAGGTGTGGTTTCTCGAGGTTTGCCATATAACATCGCGTCGAGCGAGTACATATCCCTTTCATGGTGTACTGGAGGCATAAGGGCTCAATTGCGAGGCTTTAACATCGTTGATGCGAAATTCAATTACTGTGGGCTAGAGCAGGTACTGAGGCGTCTTTTATGCTTATGCGTCGATCAATAATTCGAAGCTTCAAATTTACTTTCCCATCCAAAGATATCGGCGATGTCAATACCAGTTTTAACGACGACGATAGGGGCCGTGCTGATAACGATGACGATGGGAGGTGCCAAAGATATTGGCGATGTTGATGTCAGTAAAAACGAGAAGGATGATGGAAATACTGCTAACGATGATAATAGGAGCAATAACGACAAGAACAGTGATAGCGCTGTGGAACTTGACAAATCATAGCAAACAGGACATGTAAGTAAAAGCTACCCCTTTGTTTGATGTCCTTGTTATGATGATCCTTTAAACAAAAGTAATTACAAATCAGGTTAGGTTTTAATGCCAGTAAAGCACGGTATACTTAAAGAAGAAATAGTCGATTAACATGGTGTTACTTTTAATTTTAAACAAACACAAACATGAAGATAAAAGCGAATAAAGTGTACTGTCGAGATGTTGTCTGCACCAGTGGCCTTACAGGGGTTTATTGTCTCAGAGCCATATACACATCTGAATCCAATAAAGGTTTTAACTTGAAGAGCTCAGATGGCGATGGCTTTATTGGCTGCGGTTCTGGGGGAGGTTGATTTGCCAACAATGTAGATGCAATCGTGGTAAAATACTGATTTAGTGAATTCGCTATAGCTGTCTTGTTAGTCACTTGGTTACCATCTGTCAATAGTTTTTCAATCTTGGTGCTCCTATCCTTTGATGGAAGGACTTTATGGAGTGTATTCCAGTAGGCTTTAGGGTTAGCTCGATTTTCTTGAAGTTTATTCTTAAAATAGGCTTTTCTGTTTTTCCTGTTACTGCTAGTTACTTGGTTACGGAGTTGCCTATATTTTTGCCAGTCTTCAGTGAGACCAGTTCTTATTGCCTTTTTATGCGCCTTGTCCCGGGTTCTCATCATTCGTAGCACAGAGTTGTCTAACCATGGGTACGTTTGCTTTCGGAGTCTTTTCCTTTTGATAGGAAAGTGGGAATCAATTAATGATTTAAACAAGCACTCCCAGGCGGAATACATGTCCTCCACGTCATCGAAAAACTCAAGAAAGGTCCAAGGAGTTTTCTTTAAGTCATGGATGAAAATTTTCCTACTTTCTCGTTCCAAGTCCGCGTTGTCAAGATTCGATGCTTATGTGGACAAATTGCTGGGCCGTTCATTAGTCCAAAAATAGGGTAATGATCACTTATAGTTGTACTAAGAACTCCTGAAGATCTGAACAGACTTGGGGTAGACGTAACGAGTAACAAGTAACACGAGTGGGTTCTTTAATTATTTGTTCTATTTCATTAGCAGCAAGAAATTCCAATAATCTTTTTGTTTTACCAAGGGAGTCATTAAGATAGTCACAGTTCAGGTCACCCAGTATAATGACTTCCAAATTCCAAAACGACTTGTCAGATACAGAGAGACATTGTGTTGAGAGCTTCCGGAAACAGGAGTTAAACGAATTCCTTAGTATTTGCGGAGTAACCCCAGTTACAATGATGGGCATAGGCCTACAGTCAGAAATGGAGAGAACCAAAAGAAGAAACATCACCGAAGTAAGCGACGCTATGGTTTCAATTTTGCAGACTTTGTCTCCAAGGCATCATAGTGAGTTATGGGACGAGTTAGGAAGATCCGAAAAATTGTGTGAAGCATTCAACACCACCAAGACAAACAAGTTTGGGTTATCGCAGAGTTTTATAAAGTATCTTCCTTGCAGAAGCGTACAGCAAGGCCAAGTAAAACCATGAGAAAACAAATTATTTCTATAATGGTGGATGTTTCCACCTATGAAAAAATACGACCTTTCATCCATGGCCTCGCAAATACATGTTTGCCAGTACCAGTATCTCCAATAATATGAGGAGAGAAGGACAGACTCCCCAAATAGGAGCACACTTCGAAGAATTTTAACAGCGTGTAAAGCATCAACAACAACATCCCTTCAAGGCCTTGATTGAATTCATAGCAGTCTTTTTTATATATTTTTCGTTCTCAAAACGGTAAGCAAAATAAATCCCTCCGAGTGTTAATGGCAGATCGATTGTTTACATTCAATAGGTAACCAAATATTTATCTCATTGCGACGCTTTCTCTCAGAGATATTTCTTTTTACCTAAAATCAACAGATACTTCCATAATGTTAGGAAAACTTCCGGAATTGATTTTATTATAGGCGAAATGAGTACTTGGACCTTTATTTCTGACCGGTCAGCTGAATTAGGAACTGGTCCCAAATATAGCTAAGTCATCATAGACTGATAACTTTTTTCGTTTGACCTTTACATTTCCCCCATTTCTTTACCAATGAGATCAATTCGTCCATGAACAAACACTCTTCCAAGTAAATGGCAATTTCTGGATTGGGGCACTGGGTAACATTGGAAATATCAGGCCAACAAGTTGGGGTAAAACTTTCACTCTTCAAGACGGGGAAAAACGTCCTTCGAACGTTGAGATAACTTGTCATCAAAATATGTCATTTCCTACATTTTTCCAATAAATGTAAAGAAAAAGTGTAGATCTCTGCATCATTAAGCATGTTCTTAAAAAACTCTGTGTCGGAAATGAGACTAAAGAATCTGCTATGTTCCGAAACTTCACATTTACTTTATAAAATCAACTTGATCTGTCCTCTCTCGTCTCATGCTCTAGTCTCTCTCATTTTAAAGATATAATATGATCCTGTTGTTCAATTATCTGACACTTATCGCAAAACATCAACCGGAAATCAATTTACGCTGAATAATCTCTCACACACTCCCATGTTTTTTTTTTTTTTTTTCACGGAGCAAAAAACACTAGAATGGCACACTCGATAAAAATTGAAATTCAGTGAACGAGATAGAAAGTTAGTCCAGTATATCAGTTCAGTGTTCCTAAATATCTCTAATCAGCATCAATGCGGGAATGCGATGAGGAGCGGCTACTGCTGCATCCCCCCTGGGCCTGAATGTCAGGGCTTAGGGGTTGAGTTGCGGAGGAGTCTGTACATTCTCCCGATCGCAGGACAGCTCCAGTGGGTAAAGGTGTTGTACTGCCCGTTCGAATGTTCCTTTCCCCGCTCGAAGTTTGGCAGCTCAAACGATTCCGTCTCGTCCCGAAATCAGATCTTCTACGAATCCAATTGTCCATTTATTGCGATTTCGTTCCTCGTCCTTGATGATGACCACCTCTCCTTTGGCCAAGGGCGTGGTTTGACCCTTGTGTTTCATCCAGTGTCGTTCTCTCAACCTTCGTAAATATTCGGTAGTCCACCTGGTCCACAAACCCTGCTTGCACCTTCGCAGATATTTAGCTCTTCTGTGCTGATCAAATTCTCTTAGATGGTGTGGTTTCAGTTCTTGTGGCTGGTTTAATCGAGGAACTAGCAGTGAGTTAGGGGTAAGCACGGGTAACTGTATGTCGTCTTCTACGTAACATAAAGGGCGATTATTCAAAGCAATCTCCACATCCAGTACCACTTCACACAGCTCTGTCCAGGTCAACATTCCGCATCCGATAGTCTTGTTTAAAGCTGTTTTGACCAGTCCGATTATGCGCTCGTCACGCATAACTTGTTTGAGCCACTTCTCGGCGCGAACAAAGGTTTTGCCATTGTCGGAATATGTCTTCTCCGGACGCCCACGGCGTGCGATGAGCCGTTTTAAACTTTTTTAGGAAGTCACTGGTTGCTAGGTTTGGTAGTACTTCCAGGAATAATCCTTATGCAAGACTGCATGCGCATAATGCAAGATAGGCCTTTCCTTTTGTTTTGGCTCTGATACGGTAATTGATGGGCACTGCAAAATCAACTTCGATAACCTCGAATGGGGTGCTCCCCTCTGCGCAGTCAGTGGATAGGAGTCCAGGAGGCAATGTTTCCAGTGCCATAGCCTGAAACTGCTTGCAGCCTGAACACGCATTGAGAACTTATTCTACGAGTGCCCTTAGCGGTACCCAGTATACGTCTTGCACTTTGGTCATAGTAAGGGCCACTCCTCCGTGCAGTGTGTCGTGAGTCCCAGAGAGGGTCACGGGTGAAGCCAGACCGAGTGGATCGTAGATTTTTGCGACTTTTCCAAGGATGCTCCTTTTTGTCGGCTCAGCGGTTGAAATCGGGAAGCTGACTTGAATTTCGTCCTTTTCTTTGTCCCAGGGGACATCCAGCAGTTTTTATTTGCCCTTTGTGCTTCCCAGTTGCTGTTTGGAGTAAATCTGAATTTCTTCATCTGAAGTCGCAGTTTCAACTTCTTACTTCTGATTGTTGGACTGCCACTTGTGCTGCTTGAAAGTTGCCTCACCAAAGATTGCTGTGGCTGTCATCTTTATTTCTAACGCTTGGTTTGTTGTCTCCTTGCCATTGCTTAAATCATCTACGTACAACCTGCGCTCTATCTCCTCCATTAGTTCCGGGTTCACCATTTTGTATCGATGTAGATGTTCTTTGATAACTGCGGCCAAGAGGAATGGAGACGGTGCCAAACCAAAGAGTGAGTGAATCGCAAGGTTTTTTTACCTGTTTGCTTGCCAGATCCTTTATTTAATGAAAGCGTAAGGCATCTCGGTCTTCTCTTCGGACGCGAATTTGCAAGAATGCTTGGTTTAAGTCGCCAGCTATTGCCACGAGATAGAACCTATTTCGTATCAGCACGTTCCAAAGCTGGTTCTGTAGTGGATGGCGGATTTCGAGGCACTCGTTGAGTGAGGGGACACTTGCATCTGCTCTTACAAAAGCATCATAAACAATACGTATCTTTGTAGATTCTGCGTTCTCACGCACGACCGCTTTATGAGAATTGTAGAATTCTCTTCCGTCCTTGACTACCTCATCAGTGCGTTTTACGACCCCTTGACTCAGTTGAGTCTAGATAATGTCGTTGTACCTCTCCAGCTCGCCTTGCATCTCTAACTTCTGCGCAAGATGTTTGAGACGTTTTAAACTTCCTGTGTTATTGTTCGGTAGGGGAGGATGATTCCGTTTCCAGGGCAGGCTCGTCTCGAACCAGCCTTTTGAACTCCTGGTTAGTTTCTCTTTGAACTCTTCGTGAACGGTTTCCTGTTCTCCACTTGGATTGTCCTTTGGCCCCAAGACGTCTAACTTGCACAATTATGTGTAATCGATAGCGGAGGTCTACGTTAAGAAAATGTTGCTGAGATCCAACCCCGTTCCAGGTGACAAAATCGTCCAGCCGAACTTCGTATATTCTGCTACTGGTTCTCCCGAGCACCCAACTCTTGGTCTTGCCCCTGTTTTGATCTTAGCGTACTCGTTTGCTCCAAGGATCAGATGAACAGTCAACATCACTTTCTCGTCGTTATTATTTGTGGTTACGCCCTTCAATTGAGAAAACTGAGCTACGATTTCTGCGCATTTTGGGTTTTCCAATGTCAACAACTCTTTGCGGTCGACTTTGTTTACTTCAGCTTCCAAGGTGAATTTGCCATCTACACTTCGAATTTGTGGGCCATAGATGTCTACCGCTTTGTTTGAAGTACCAAATATCATTTCAACGTACTTGAATTGTTGACGGAGAGGACGCAAATGTAAAGGGTCCAGAAGCGTTCTGCGACCATTCAAGCACTGGATGTGGCAGAAAGTCTGCGATCACCCAGTCACAGGATGTCGCAGAAATCCTAGAAACACTCATCAAGGGATGAATACAGCAATTTAGCAATCTTACTAAAACCAGTCAATAACAAATTCCACAACATTTGGTCGGTGATCCTCAATCACTTTATGATATACAATAATATAGTAAAGCTATAAACAAGTGGAATCTTCTCAAATTTTGTAGTTACACTCATCTGTTAAGAAAGTAAGAAATACAATATACAGTTCAGGTCACGCCCTTTATTACATGATCAGATAAATGAAATGAAAAAATATAATAAATCCATTGAGTTTAAATTCTGATATCTAGCAAACAAACAACTAAGTTCCACTTTAAACGAAAAGTATATAAACTAATATACTGTCAGTCCTTTGACTATCTCAAAAAAATATTTAAAAACTATAACTACTAAAAGATATCTCATTTGTATTTACCCTACCCTGTAATGAAAGCCTATAAGGCCTAATGGACGGAAAGTGAAGTTACAAATGAATCCATGCTTTATTTCAGTAGTTTCAATACACGATGGCTTAGGAAATTCGACATAAAGGGAAAAAAATGTTGGTTTCTAAGTGAACCGAAATTTGTGAGTATTTATTGATAAAAATATTTAGTCGTATATGTGTCCTACCTATGGCCTCGAGATGAGATACTCGGGATGAAATCGATCGCTTTTTAGGACTGCTAAATAAAGATCCATAAATAAATATCTCCTCCACACAGACATTGGTAAGTGGATACGACTCGATCTATAAAAGATTTAATCAATGCAGGTGGCTGGATTCGTGTATCACAACTTGTTGAGTCGCGAATATGCTCTAGTACAGGCCCTAAAAAAATGTGAACGTTCGTATTCATGACGAAAAATTTTGAAAAGTCTCAAAGCAATAAGAACTTTGAACTTAACTCTACTCTGTGACTGTAGGTGAATTCATTGTAAACTCAACGTAAGCAGAAGCCAGCGAGGAACGCACAGATGCAAAATTCACAATAGTCCATTTCACGGTTGTGTGCTTGGTTGCCAAACCTTTGAACGTGGGTGAGGCTAAGGTTGACCTTGTTATGATACAAACCTTCCTGCTTTTCAAATGTAACTCATGCTAGTTAGATACTGGTCTTGATCACAACAAAGTCACTTTCACCCTCAGTTCAAATCAAAGGCTTAGTAACTGAGTAAACAACTGTAAAAATGGCCTATTCCAATCTAGGCGTTTTCAAATACAATGATATTACACATCTAGACTATACCATCATAAATTGACTGTAATGCAATATTCTACCTACTGTAACCTTATTCAAGTCCATGTTTCACTGAACCACAATCATTCATCATTTTTTTAGCGTGGGGTTATGTTAAAGGTAAAAAAAAAAAGAGAAAAAAAGAATGGCTAATGACGTGTGTTCAGATGCTGTTGGTAAATTATAAATAATACCACAAAGGTTGGGACGCTTGGACAGTCTCGATGCCCGATGGCGAAAAATAAAACTTGCGGTGACGTACTTGATCTAAAGCGCGAGGCTCCTCGAGTTTTGGAACCAATCAAAGCGAAACAGCCTGACGATACCACAGAGATTAGATACAAACTGCAGCAACAAGAAAGTGGTACTACCAAACCTAGGTGTACTCTTTCACCGATAAAAAAAATATCAATTGGTTAACATTACACATGTTTGTTTCTCTGCATAGTTTGGCACTCAAAGACGTCAGCTGCACCACGCCTCTCTATGCTCTGTAGAGAGATAGTTTGTAGCCACCACCACTGTCCGACGATGGATGAAACTAAGTTTTTTTTAAATTTATTTTTTTTTCATACGCAGCAGTCTTATGTCTTATATACAAGCCTCTTCTTGCAACAAAAGAAGAAGAGAGAAAAATCCACACTATTTACTGAAAAAACAAAACAAAACAAAACAAAACAAAAAAAAACTGGCGAATGACTCATTCCAATGCTTGCCAGGAAATCTAAAGGGCAGCGAGTGAGGGTATGGAGGATTGGCTATATATATATATATATATATATATATATATATATATATATATATATATATTATATAACCTTATAGAATGGCTTCGACAAGGCAACAGAGAAATACAAGGAGAAACCAGAATCAAGACGAAGGAGTTAATACGCGCACGGACGAGCGCACGGACGAGCGCGAGCAAAGCAGCGAGGACGATGTTACACCATCCGCTAGTTTCATCGAAACAGCGAATCCAGCGAGGAACCCTCAAATAACGGAAAAACCAACAGATCTTGGATGGAAAGTGTACTCCCTAAAAGAAAAAAACATGAGGATGAAACTACACTTTGAATTCCTGAAAACATGCATAGAGGAAGATATTATTCCGAAAGGATTAACCATTGATTTGCGATCGACGACAGGCCGACAAGATGAAACCTTCCAAAACAAATGGAAAGAAATACTAAGCAATTGCTCACGGCAGCTCGCGGAATGTCTCGTGGAACACTACGAGAGGCAGCTGGCACAAAATATTGCCGTGATAGCCGACACTTTCGAGTCACTCGAGAAGATTGAGGACTGGACGGACAGGGACAAGCAACAAGTAGAACAAGAAATAGAATCAATTATTGACACGAAAGAAAAACAGCTAAAGGAGAAAAAAGAAAAGAAGCTGGAAACTGCCCGTAAGAACAAACAACCGGTGCAAGAGGCAGAACATCAACCACTTGATCGGGGCACTGAAACATATGCAGAAGTAGTCAAGAAACACATTCGTCAGAAACTGACACCAAATAAGTCAGACCCCACAAGAAGAAAAATACCTCCTGAAGAACGTGGCCAAAGAAGGTACTATGAAAGATCATCAAGGGACAGAGAGTGGGCTACAGACGCTACCAACAACAATCACTAGATTACAACCAGCATGAAGGAGGTAAGCGCCAATCACAACGGCGGTATTTTTTAAGCGGTCGCCCACCCGCCAGGAACAGATACAAAGATTGAGATTGAAACCAAACCGAAAAGATATCAACGGAAATTTGACATTGGAACGGAAATGGACAATGAGTAAAGTCAAACCCAAAGAAATGACACGTGAGAAATCCACACAGATAGAGAATATTTTAAATAGACGAACAGTAAACTTATCTGGCATTCAACTTACGCAGTCGGAAACAAACCTTCTACGTAAGGGACTTAACTTTTGCCCAACACCACCGCCACCAGGAAAATACGAAATCAGTAAGGACATTGATGCCTTTGCCCGTAGACTAACCCTTAAGGAATATCACACTCCTGAGAATATAGAAGACGTAATAGACGGCCCTGGATACCAACCATCGATTCTTCAAAAATTGAACCAGAAGGAGCGCAAGGTGTATACTGGACCTTCAAGGGAACCATACCTTAATACATATATTGACAAATTAAGGCAAGAAATCAGTGATGAGACTTTGCACAATCTACGATCTCCACGTAATAATCTAACCAAACGTGAGAGAGCAGCTTTGTTTAGACTAAGCAACAACACGGACATAATCATCAAGCCCGCAGATAAAGGCGGAGCTACGGTCATCATGAATGCAAAGGACTATGTAAAGGAGGCTAAACGCCAACTAGACAATGAAGAATATTACAAGAGAGTAGGAAGAGATCTCACTCTTGAACACGAACAGCTCATAAACCAGTGCTTAGATACACTTATGGACGACGGAGAATTAGAAGAAGAAGTAGCTAAACTCTTAAGACCAGCACAATCAAGGACTCCTATATTCTATATGCTCCCCAATATACACAAAGTTAACAATCCAGGTAGACCAGTAGTATCCTCCGTGAACAGCCACACGG